TACTGCATGGAGCACTGGGTGTTATACGCAAACAATGAATCATGGAACACTACATGAAAAACTAATGATGTAATGTATGGTGATTAACATAACATAATAATAAAAAAAATTAAAAAAAGAAAAGAAAAGGATCTTGGGATGTGGAGATTATCTTGAATCATCTTGGTGGGTTCACGTCATCACAAGGGTCCTTTTCTTGTAAGAGGAAGACAAAAATTCAGAGAAGGCGAGATGACCACAGAGGGAAGGAGAGGGGAAAAGGCAGTGTGAGGGGAAGCCATGATCTGAGAATGAGAACAGCCCGACAAAAGCTCACAGGCAAGGAAACGGATTCTCCCCCTGAGCCGCCAGAAGGAATCAGCCCTGCTGCCACCTTCGCTTTAGCCCAGACTGATCTTATAGTTCTGACCTCTGAAACTATAAAATAATAAAGGATGTTGTAAGCCACTAGGTTTGTGGTAGCTTGCTATGCCAGCAATAGGGAGCTAGCGTAGAATATAATCAATAAATACTAAATACGGGTGAATAATTCGAAAACAGCTCTCCGTGATCCGTAATTTCCAAAGTATTTTATAGACAGATATTTTTTCAGCAATCAAATCCTAACTGCTCCATCAGAAGTTAAGTTTATTACACAAAGAGAGCCATTTAAATTACATTATAGTGTAAGTATGCGTGCACTGATTTTGAAATTGGAAGGCAGAAGAAATGACAAAAAATGACATGTCTCTCTTCCTGGGGATCTTTGTGTTTCCTAAGAGGTGACAGTTACAGTGCACTTAAGATTGGACTTGAGCCACTGACTTGTGGCAGCAACTGTGTTAGTCATCTGTGAATGTCCTGCCAGCACTGAGCACCCTGCTCTGTACAGTGTTGGTTGGTGTTCCATCAATTTTGCCAATTAAATAAATGACTGAACAAAACGAAAAGGTGAATGAGAAAGACTTACATCCTTAGTCAGGTTTTCACAGCTGATCACTTAGATGGAGCTTTATTCTAAATTAACCTAGGAGGACCTGGTGCTAGAACAAAAATAACAGCTTACTTGAAAAAAAAAAAAAAAAAAAAAGGATTTTTTTTAAAGGCCACTAAAGGTGAAACTAAAAATGTGAATAAGTTGTAGGAGATTTTTCCACTTTTGGTTAGAACACAAAAAGTCACAGAAAACCACTGGTCCCACTGTAATGATGAGAACACAATAAATTTAGAAATCTTATCTGTCGTGCAAGACACTGAGGAGATCTGGACACAAGCCTAATCGAGCAGAATTTCAGAGGGAGATGAGACCCCGGCCATGAGTGGGCAGAAGAGCTAGCCTGCCCTTGGCGCAGAAACCTGGCTGCAATAAGGAGACAGGAGCCCAACTTTGATCAGCCAAACATCGGCTAGTATGGCAGACTGGGAGGTGGAGAAACGGCAAGACCCCACGGCCAGTCAGTGCTCCTTCATCATGCTTTTGCCTGGCAAGCAAGCACTGGTGGTGAAGAAGCTGGCAACTGGGTGGAAAGGAGAGAGATGTAATCTCACATGCAGAGATCCCAGACTCTGCTGCAGGCCAGATCTCACCATCAACGGGAAATCAGATATGAAATTCAGTTTGACTCCTGATTAGAACAAAGAGATCTCGCCTAGTCACCTTAGCTGCCTGACAGGGCAAAGGACAAGGCTTTCTGAGGACAGATATTACCTACTTCAGCTTCTTTGTTCTTTTATACACAATATAAAAGTAAGGTAAGTGGAAAAGCAGGAAAAACGTGACCCATAATAAAGAAGAAAAAAAGAATAAAAGGAGAATAGATAACAAAATGGTTGGAATTTACAGATAGGACTTTAAAACAACTATTATGAAGACGCTAAAGAATTTAAGGGAAAATGTACAAAATGGGCGAAAAGATGAATTCACCAGAGTAATAAAAACTCTAAAAAGGAAGCAAATAGAAATTGTAGAACTGATAAGTACAATATGAATTCATTGGAAGGGCTTAATAGTTAAATGGACAAAACAGAAAAGGTTAGTAAACCCAAAGATAAAAAAACAAAAACTATCCAAAATAAAGCACTGAGCTAAAAAAAAAAAAATCGGTAATAAAACACACACCCTGAGAATCAGAATACTATGGCATAATTTCAAATGGTCTGACATACATGCAGTTACGGCCTGAAAAGAAAAGAAAGAATAGAGTAGAATTGTTGGAAGAGATTTTAGATGAGGGTTTCAAGGGTGGTTGAAGGACATTAATCCAACCCAGTGAAAGCCCAAGCAGGAAAATAGACAGAAAATCACACATAGGTCAAACCACTAAAAACCAGAGTACAAAGATAAAGGCAATGGAATGACATGTTTCAAGAGCTGAAAGGAACCTACACATTCACTCACACAAACATACACACACACATGCACACACATCCACACGTGCCCATACATACAAGCACACGTGTACACAAACTGGCAACCTAGATACCTATATTCGTAGAAAATACTCCTAAAAAGTAAGGGTGAAGAAAAGGCATTTCCAGACAGGCAAACTGTGAACATTCATGCTGCTCTACAGGAAAATATTAAAGGAAGTTCTCCAGACCAAAGGGAAATGATCACAGAGAAAAACCAAGATCGGCAGAAAGGAACGATGATCAGTGGCGTAAATATCAAGGGAGATATAAAACAACATTAGCTTTAAGTCTCTTTAAAAAGACAATTGGCTACTTGAAGCAAATAGAGTGATATACTATGGGATTATAATACACGGAAAAATAAAGTAACAACAGTAATATTAAATTCAAGAGGAGTAAACAAAACTACACTCCTGACGGATGTTAAATGTCTCAGGAAGCTGTGTAACAGTCACCATGGTAAAGGGTGATGGGTTAATTATGCCTGTTGTAATCTAGAAGAGCTACTTAAAAATACAAAATGGAGAGGTGCCTAGGTGGCTCAGTCGGTTTTGTGACTGACTTTTGATTTCAGCTCAGGTCATGATCTCAGGGTCCGGAGAGCTCACGTTCTCTCTCTCTCTAAAATAACAAATAAATAAATCTTTTAAAAAAATACAAAATAGTGAGACTGAACAGGAACAGGGGTAATAAAATGGAATAAAAGAACAAACAAACCAAAAAACACATAACCTCAGTTTCCCAATGAAGAAAGAAAGAAGAGAAGGGGGAAATGGGGAAGAAATAAAAAATGACAGAATTAAGCCCAAGAATCTCCCAGGTAATTATAGTAACTGTAAGAGGTATTCAACACTCCAGTTAAATCCGGGCTTAAATAAAAAGACCCAACTCTATGCAGTTTAGAAGAGGCACACTTAATATAAGGACCTAGAGTGAAAATAAAATGAGGAAAAGGACACACACTGCAAACACTAATCATAAGAAAGCCAGTGTGTCTACATTAGTACCAGAAAAACTAAAATTTTTAAAAGTATTATCAGTGATTTAAGATAGCTATTTCATAATGATAAAATGGTCATTAACAAAGCCCAAAGTTAGTTCTTTGCCCAGACTAAAAGCTTGATAAATCTCTTATTTTTATGCATACAATTTCTGATGGTTTATGAACTCATGTGTCTTTATGGACCTCTATTTAAAACTTCTTTCCAAGGAATGCCTGGGTGGCTCAGTCAGTTAAATGTCTGCCTTCAGTTCAGGTCATGATCCCCGGGTCCTGGGACAGAGCCCCGCATCAGGTTTCCTGCTCAGCAGGGAGCCTGCTTCTCCCTCTCCCTTGATCCCTACCCGCTGGTCATGTTCCCTCCTGCTCTCTTGCTCATGCTCTCTCTCTCAAATAAATAAAAAAAAAAATCTTAAAAAAAACCCTCTTTTCAAATACACATTATATTTAAATTCCACAAGTTTCTTTTCAAGTATATGACCCTTCAATCCTTAAAAACCAGTATTATTATTATTATTATCATTATTATTATTGTTATTTGATTCTTCAAGTCCTTTTACCTGAAATTTCACGTTCTGGTTGATATCTGACACGCGGAACTGCTTCAGGAAACGCTCATCCTCACTCCAGAAGAGGCGGATGTCAGGGATGTCATAGAGGATCATGGCCAGTCTTTCCAATCCTAGGCCAAAGGCCCAACCGATCCGATCTTGAGCACCAGCTACAATTAGGAAAACAAAACTGGTTTACAAAATATAAAGACTTCGCAGGTGAATGCTACTTGCTGATAAGTAACCAGTACTACTGGCTGAGCACCTCCTAGTGGTGAGGCACTGGGGGGAGCTGTGGAGACATCCATGCAGGTCCCTGTCTTAACATTTCTCATGCTTCCCACATTCCTCACTCACTTCCTTCACTGAAGCACTCTGGAGTCACACTGTCTCTAATATTGCCTTTCATTTATGATTACATTCCAGGTTCTTTAAAGCCCTGGTTCCTGCCTCTGAGTAATCCTTGTTTGCCCTGATTCAAACATTTAGCCTACTATGTGCAGGTTACAGAGGAGAGAGAAAAGATGGTCTCTTGTCCCTACATGGCTTACTAGACAGGCAGGTGTGTTCAAAACCATGCCAGAGTGGACTGTTAATATTCAGAAAGAACCCTCAATTTTATTAAAACAACCTTCACCCTTAGTAAGAGTTACCTCAAAAATACACGGAGAGCAAGAAAGCCAAAGTAAAATGCTTATCTACTACCATTCACTCCAAAGGTAAGCTGTGTTGTTGACATTATGGCAACACCATGAACTTGAAAGGTTTATTTCGCCCACCTGAAGCAGAGTTAAGACCAAAGATATAAAGCCCTGTGTGAAAAAGGCAAGGGAGCAACACATACTACTGGAAAAGCTTACAGAAAAGGCTCATGAAAGGAACATAATTTTTCCTAAAGATGATTAGGATCCTGGGGAGGCTGCAAATGGCCTCAAGATTTCACTCCTGACATGTGTGCCCTGTGTAAATCCCTCCCTTTGAGTGTGGGTGGCTCCAGGAACGTGATGCGATTTCACCCCTGTGATTAGGTTACTTTATATGCAGGTCCATCTGAGCAAACCAGCTCCCAGAAATGAGAAGGCCATGTGGCTAGGACCTGAGGGAGGCCTCTAGAAGCCGGGGGAGGTCCTGGCGGTCTGCAAGAAATGGGACCCTCACTCCTACAACCTTAAGGAAATGAATTCTCCCAACAGTGTGAATGAGCTTAGAAGAGGACCCTGAACTCCAGAAGAGCACAAAGCCCTGCTGACCCCTTGATCTCCACCTATGAAGACCCTGAGCAGGGGATCCAGCCAATCTGCACCTGGACTTCTGATGCAAGGAAAAATGTGACATAATAAATTTAGGTTGTTTTAATCCATTAAGTATGAGGCTAATTTGTTACCCAGCAAAAGAAAACTAACACGAATCCAAAATGTGAAGGTAAAAGAAAACTCCAGACTCAAGGAACATCTTCAATAACAAAGGGGTGACTCTCCCCCTGTTGTGTTCTCTCTCTCTCTGTGCCAAATAAATAAAAATCTTAAAAAAAAAAAAAACACACAAAAAAACAAAGGGGTGACAGTGCAGCATAGAATGGTTGGAAGTAGATTCTGGAAACACAGATGGTTCAAGGTTGAGGCAGGTAAGAGGGGAGGGGATCCATTTCTGCCCAGGTGCTCCTACTACAATTGTTTATAAATAAAACAACAAGGATAAATGTATAATAGAAGCCATGCAGAAGTATGAGCCTCTGCAAATGGTGTGTTTAAAAGCTGAATGAATTAAAATAGTCAAAAAGAGATCACAGAGAGAGAGAATGGCTCAGTAGCAGGAGGGAAGGTGTATGTGAAAGAAAAGCGGGTGGTTGGCTGAGAGCACCCGTAAGGATGAACTGAGTAAGAATGAATGTTCAGGTGAAGAGGAGGGAAGAGAGATATTTAACTTCACAGACAGTGGGGTCAGGAAAAAGTGTCCACAACCCCTCACCCTGTGATCAGGTGCCTAAGAGAGCAGTTAAAGTGTGAGGCAAAATATTTTAGAATAATTCATACTGATGTGTGAGGCCTTAAAAAAAGCCTGGTGACTAGTTAAAGACATGAAATTTAATACAACCATGATAGACTTTTAAAATCTACTTAAAGAAGAATTTTTTTTTCTTTAATTGAAAATTGACAGTCCTGGGGATGTGGCTCCAGCACATTCTGCATTGTGTGGTTCTAGCGTCTCATTCACTGCTGGTTACACTATGTATTTTTACAATTTGGAAACAACATGGCAATACATATAAAGATCCTTAAAATGTTCATACGCTTTATTCTTCTAACTCTACTCAGGAATTTATCCTAAGGAAATAATTCAACAAAATAAAAACATAAATGAAAGAAGATACTCAGCAGTACAACTTATAAGAGCAAAAACATGGAAACAACCTGAGTAGCCCAAATTAGGGAATGGCTTAAAAATTATAGGACATTTTGATGGAGTCATTAAAAATCATAGCTATACAAATACATATTTATTAAGTGACAGACTGTAAGAGCTTATGAAGAATCTATGATAACATGAATATGTCCTGTGATACTACTATTTAATATAGGTACAAATGAGGATTTACTGTGAAAAAATAAAAACAAAATGTGATGTTCAAGAATTATAATGGGTAATAGTTTTAAAACAACTTTAAAGCATTTTCCTGAAATCGTTAGTCTTTTCTTTTTTAAAAAAAAAGATTTTATCTTTATTTATTTATCAGAGAGAGAGAGCACACACAAGCAGGGGGAACAGCAGAGGGAGAGGGAGAAGCAGGCTCCCCGCTGAGCAGGGAGCCAGATGTGGGACTCGATCCCAGGACCCTAGGATCATGACTTGAGCCAAAGGCAGACGCTTAACTGACTGAGCCACCCAGGCATCCTGCTATAGTCTTTTCAATAAGAAAGTAATAAAGATAGGTAGGAGTGTTAATGCTGCTTTGTGATTTAGGCTTTTTCCTTAATCTTTTAGATTTTATGACCAATTTTTTAGATATAACCAACCACCTGAGCCTAATATCTATAACTGAATGAGCAATAGATTCAGGGTAAGATCTTATTTAATATCTAGTATTTTGGGGTTTTTTTTTTTTTTGGTATCCTAGCTTTTGCTCCTTTCATCTATCCCCAGTTAGTCCCCATCCCCCAAAACATTTTCTAAAGCAAAAACAAGAATAACAAAGAGCCCCTAAAAGCAGGTAAGAAGAAAAGCAACAATCTAATTATTTGAGAGAGGGAGAGAGCGAGCAGGGGGAGGGGCAGAGGGACAGAGAGAACCTCCAGCAGACTCCGCGCTGAGCGTGGAGCCCAACACGGGGCTCAATCCCATGACCCTGAGATCATGACCTGAGCCGAAATCAAGAGCCAGATAAGATGCTCAACCAACTGAGCCACCCAGGTGCCCCAACAATCTAAATTTTTAAATGGACAAAGAATATGAAGACATTCATAGAAACAGAAAGAAAAATTACCTTCAAGCAAACAAAAAGCTTAGTTAAGAAAAATGCAAGAAAAAAATGCACAAGTTACTACCGTATTTTCCTTATCAGATTAGCTAAATAAACACATCTGATCCCATACTTGATAGCAAAGCCAAGGGAAGACAAGCACTCTCCACACAGCTGGTAGGTTCACAACTGGGTTTTTAACCCATTGACCTAAGGAGCAGAATATAGCAGTAGCTATCAAAATTACAGATGTGTATACCACACCTTGTTACTTTAGCTACTAGAATGCATCCTACTTATGGGAAATTATGAATGTGTAAGGCCACTTTCTGGAGTGTTGTTTATAAAAGCAAAAGACCGCAAACAACCCAATGTCCATCACTAGGGAACGAATTAAACAAACTAGGCTATGTCCATACATGGCATATTATTATAAAAAATCTCTGAAAGATTTCAAAAACTCAAAGCAGCAGCTGACTTTATTTTGTTTTGTTTTTAATTTGTGGGTGAGTGGGAAAGAACTGGGAAACTGGAGGACAAATATGGGGAGACCTCACACTACATGCCTTTTTAAATAAACAGTGACAAGAAATATTTCGGACAATAGAGATTTTTGTTACTAGATAAAATACAACAATTTCTTTTCTGTTTATTTTCAAGAGGTTATAAGAACAAAGTATTCCTCTTACATCACACCGGGGCCAAACTTTCAGGATAATCATGATTAGTAAAAATGAATTTCTATGTCCGCCTTTTATAGCCAGGATTGGTTTCCTTCATTCTCTAAGACGCAATACATTTCCAAACCATTCCCACTATGTGCTGTCCAAATTTGTGACCACAGAATAATAAAATGGTGGCTCTCTTATGCCATTAAGTTTGGAGTGGTTTGTTATTCAGCAAGGGCTAACCAGACATTGTTAAATCATCTGGGTTTTGCCTTTTATTGTAAACACTTCCCATTATGGAAATGCAAATAAAGACTAGATAGGGTTTCACTTAGGAGAGATCAGGAATTAAGCTTAAAATAAGATCAATCATCTATATTGTATATTACCCTGTATATGCCATAGTATCAATTATGTCATAATATCACATCTATCCAAAGGCCATGCCACCCCCCACTATTTATCACATTGCTAGTCCTATGTACAGAGCAGACAGTCCTAAGCCGAAGCTATGTAATACTTCTCCCAACCAACTACTGCTTTTTTTTTTTTTTTAAGATTCTAGTTATTTGACAGAGAGAGACACAGCGAGAGAGGGAACACAAGCAGGGGGAGTGGGAGAGGGAGAAGCAGGCTTCCCGCCGAGCAGGGAGCCCGATG